GAAAGTACTCAATTAGTTAAACTTTAGCCTCACTCCTTGAGAAAAAAAGGATATTTTGGCCAATACTTCAGGCATAAGACTTCACATTTTAGTGTGGTTTTTATCAGTACCTTTATCCTTTGCTGAAAATCACATTATGGGTACCCTGGCTTGTTGATTATTCGTATGGGTCCTGATTGATTGCATGTGCCTGGGTGGCCAAAATGACCCTTGAAAGATTTTACTGACATTTTTCAATGCTAATTACTCATCAACTATGGGTTTCCAAGGTGTGATTTAGGTTTGTGTAATATTCTGAAAGTACTTAATTAGTTAAACCCCATAAATTTCAATTCTGAGAAAAAAGGATATTTTGGCCAATAATTTTGTAAGGCATAAGACTTACAATTTTGGTGGTTTTTGGCCAAAAATTCGATTTTGCTGAAAATCACATTATGGGTACTCCTGTGCTTGCTGATTATTCGTATGTGGTCCACGATTCGATTGCAGAAAAATTAGTGTCCAAAATGACCCTTGAAAGATTTTACTGCATTTTTCAATGGTAATTACTCATCAACTATGGGTTTCCAAGGTGTGATTTAGGGTTTGTGTGATATTCTGAAAGTACTTAATTAGTTAAACCCCATAAATTTCAATTCTGAGAAAAAAGGATATTTTGGCCAATAATTTTGTAAGGCATAAGACTTACAATTTTGGTGGTTTTTGGCCAAAAATTCGATTTTGCTGAAAATCACATTATGGGTACTCCTGTGCTTGCTGATTATTCGTATGTGGTCCACGATTCGATTGCAGAAAAATTAGTGTCCAAAATGACCCTTGAAAGATTTTACTGGCATTTTTCAATGCTAATTACTCATCAACTATGGGTTTCCAAGGTGTGATTTAGGGTTTGTGTGATATTCTGAAAGTACTTAATTAGTTAAACCCCATAAATTTCAATTCTGAGAAAAAAGGATATTTTGGCCAATAATTTTGTAAGGCATAAGACTTACATTTTTGGCCAAAAATTCGATTTTGCTGAAAATCACATTATGGGTACTCCTGAGCTTGCTGATTATTCGTATGTGGTCCACGATTCGATTGCAGAAAAATTAGTGGCCAAAATGACCCTTGAAAGATTTTACTGGCATTTTTCAATGCTAATTACTCATCAACTATGGGTTTCCAAGGTGTGATTTAGGGTTTGTGTGTTATTCTGAAAGTACTTAATTAGTTAAACCCCTTAAATTTCAATTCTGAGAAAAAAGGATATTTTGGCCAATAATTTTGTAAGGCATAAGACTTACAATTTTGGTGGTTTTGGCCAAAAATTTGATTTTGCTGAAAATCGCATTATGGGTACTCCTGACCTTGCTGATTATTCATATGTGGTCCACGATTCGATTGCAGAAAAATTAGTGGCCAAAATGACCCTTGAAAGATTTTACTGGCATTTTTCAATGCTAATTACTCATCAACTATGGGTTTCCAAGGTGTGATTTAGGGTTTGTGTGATATTCTGAAAGTACTTAATTAGTTAAACCCCTTAAATTTCAATTCTGAGAAAAAAGGATATTTTGGCCAATAATTTTGTAAGGCATAAGACTTACAATTTTGGTGGTTTTTGGCCAAAAATTCGATTTTGCTGAAAATCACATTATGGGTACTCCTGAGCTTGCTGATTATTCGTATGTGGTCCACGATTCGATTGCAGAAAAATTAGTGGCCAAAATGACCCTTGAAAGATTTTACTGGCATTTTTCAATGCTAATTACTCATCAACTATGGGTTTCCAAGGTGTGATTTAGGGTTTGTGTGATATTCTGAAAGTACTTAATTAGTTAAACCCCTTAAATTTCAATTCTGAGAAAAAAGGATATTTTGGCCAATAATTTTGTAAGGCATAAGACTTACAATTTTGGTGGTTTTTGGCCAAAAATTCGATTTTGCTGAAAATCACATTATGGGTACTCCTGAGCTTGCTGATTATTCGTATGTGGTCCACGATTCGATTGCAGAAAAATTAGTGTCCAAAATGACCCTTGAAAGATTTTACTGGCATTTTTCAATGGTAATTACTCATCAACTATGGGTTTCCAAGGTGTGATTTAGGGTTTGTGTGATATTCTGAAAGTACTTAATTAGTTAAACCCCATAAATTTCAATTCTGAGAAAAAAGGATATTTTGGCCAATAATTTTGTAAGGCATAAATAAGACTTACATTTTTGGCCAAAAATTTGATTTTGCTGAAAATCACATTATGGGTACTCCTGAGCTTGCTGATTATTCGTATGTGGTCGACGATTCGATTGCAGAAAAATTAGTGTCCAAAATGACACTTGAAAGATTTTACTGGCATTTTTCAATGCTAATTACTCATCAACTATGGGTTTCCAAGGTGTGATTTAGGGTTTGTGTGTTATTCTGAAAGTACTTAATTAGTTAAACCCCTTAAATTTCAATTCTGAGAAAAAAGGATATTTTGGCCAATAATTTTGTAAGGCATAAGACTTACAATTTTGGTGGTTTTTGGCCAAAAATTCGATTTTGCTGAAAATCACATTATGGGTACTCCTGACCTTGCTGATTATTCATATGTGGTCCACGATACGATTGCAGAAAAATTAGTGGCCAAAATGACCCTTGAAAGATTTTACTGGCATTTTTCAATGCTAATTACTCATCAACTATGGGTTTCCAAGGTGTGATTTATGGTTTGTGTGATATTCTGAAAGTACTTAATTAGTTAAACCCTTTAAATTTCAATTCCGAGAAAAAAGGATATTTTGGCCAATAATTTTGTAAGGCATAAGACTTAAAATTTTGGTGGTTTTTGGCCAAAAATTCGATTTTGCTGAAAATCACATTATGGGTACTCCTGAGCTTGCTGATTATTCGTATGTGGTCCACGATTCGATTGCAGAAAAATTAGTGGCCAAAATGACCCTTGAAAGATTTTACTGGCATTTTTCAATGCTAATTACTCATCAACTATGGGTTTCCAAGGTGTGATTTAGGGTTTGTGTGGTATTCTGAAGGTACTTAAGTAGTTAAACCCCTTAAATTTCAATTCTGAGAAAAAAGGATATTTTGGCCAATAATTTTGTAAGGCATAAGACTTACAATTTTGGTGGTTTTTGGCCAAATATTCGATTTTGCTGAAAATCACAATATGGGTTCTCCTGAGCTTGCTGATTATTCATATGTGGTCCACGATTCGATTGCAGAAAAATTAGTGTCCAAAATGACCCTTGAAAGATTTTACTGGCATTTTTCAATGCTAATTACTCATCAACTATGGGTTTCCAAGGTGTGATTTACGGTTTGTGTGATATTCTGAAAGTACTTAATTAGTTAAACCCCTTAAATTTCAATTATGAGAAAAAAGGATATTTTGGCCAATAATTTTGTAAGGCATAAGACTTACAATTTTGGTGGTTTTTAGCCAAAAATTCGATTTTGCTGAAAATCACATTATGGGTACTCCTGAGCTTGCTGATTATTCGTATGTGGTCCACGATTCGATTGCAGAAAAATTAGTGGCCAAAATGACCCTTGAAAGATTTTACTGGCATTTTTCAATGCTAATTACTCATCAACTATGGGTTTCCAAGGTGTGATTTAGGGTTTGTGTGTTATTCTGAAAGTACTTAATTAGTTAAACCCCATAAATTTCAATTCTGAGAAAAAAGGATATTTTGGCCAATAATTTTGTAAAGCATAAGACTTACATTTTTGGCCAAAAATTCGATTTTGCTGAAAATCACATTATGGGTACTCCTGAGCTTGCTGATTATTCGTATGTGGTCCACGATTCGATTGCAGAAAAATTAGTGTCCAAAATGACCCTTGAAAGATTTTACTGGCATTTTTCAATGCTAATTACTCATCAACTATGGGTTTCGAAGGTGTGATTTATGGTTTGTGTGATATTCTGAAAGTACTTAATTAGTTAAACCCCTTAAATTTCAATTTTGAGAAAAAAGGATATTTTGGCCAATAATTTTGTAAGGCATAAGACTTACAATTTTGGTGGTTTTTGGCCAAAAATTCGATTTTGCTGAAAATCACATTATGGGTACTCCTGAGCTTGCTGATTATTCGTATGTGGTCCACGATTCGATTGCAGAAAAATTAGTGTCCAAAATGACCCTTGAAAGATTTTACTGGCATTTTTCATTGCTAATTACTCATCAACTATGGGTTTCCAAGGTGTGATTTAGGGTTTGTGTGATATTCTGAAAGTACTTAATTAGTTAAATCCCTTAAATTTCAATTCTGAGAAAAAAGGATATTTTGGCCAATAATTTTGTAAGGCATAAGACTTACAATTTTGGTGGTTTTTGGCCAAAAATTCGATTTTGCTGAAAATCACAATATGGGTACTCCTGAGCTTGCTGATTATGACTATGCAGTCCACGGTTCCATTGCAGAGTAATTACTGGCCAAAATGACCCTTGAAAGATTTTTACTGACTTTTTTAATGCTAATTACTCAACAACTATGGGTTTCCAAGGTGTGATTCAGGGTTTGTGTGTTATTCTGAAAGTACTTAATTAGTTAAACCCCTTAAATTTCAATTCTGAGAAAAAAGTATATTATGGTCAAAATTACCCCGCAATCAAATTGTGGACCATATATTCGAAATCAGCATGCTCTGGAGTACCTATAATCTGATTTTCAACAAACTCTAATTTTTGGACGCAAACTGTCGTCCCAATTATATTTTTTTTCACAGAATTGAAATTTAAGGGGTTTAACTACTGTAATTAAGTACTTACAGAATAACACATTAACACCAAAATTGTACTTTGGAAACCCATAGTTGGTGAGTAATTAGCATTGAAAAATATAATTAAATTATCCAAGGGTCATTCCAGCCCACAATCGAATCGTGGACCATTTACTGTGCCAGTTTACAAGGCTTCTGCTGTAAGAATAGTCGGTTCTGTCATTTTAGCACTTAAATTCTAAAGCCCATCAAAATGTTTGGAGTAAATAATGTAATAATCTTTTTCAGTGTGAATGTTGCCATCTTGAAGATTCTTCTAGTGTTGTGACAACCTTACCTGACAGCAGCGTGGCATACAAACTTCACCTGGAATGCAGCCGCCTCATCAACCTGTATGACTGGCTTCAGGCCTTCATATCAGTTGTAGATCCAGAGGAAGATGTATCCAGCAAGAGAAACATAGACCAGAAACTACAGTATCCTTTACTTTAATACGAGAATAGAAATTGTAGAGAACCAGTAAATATTTTTATAATAAACCTGTCCTGTTTTCAACAGAGTACAATCAATATACATTCCCACATTGCAGATCAACATGATTACGTAGGGTGAGTTTCAGAATTTTCTAATCGTTTGCCTTTTAATTCTGGTTTAAATGTAGAGTAGATAAAAAATAATTATGAATTGTTGCATATCCTGAGCGTAAGAATTTGGTATGAAAGATCTGGGATATTGCTTGTGAGCCATGTAAAGTAATGCTAGCAGGTAAGAGTAAGGTTGAGTGACTGCAATGTATAACAATGACAATAAATAATGAGAAATAGCAGTGATTATAAGATTATGTTAATAAGATCTAAGTTACAATACAGTAAGTAGATATGGTTAAAAAGATCTACTAACATAATAAATTAGATTAGGTTAAGTTAATAAGACCTACCAAAGTGTAGGAAGGTAGAATAGTTTAAAAAAAAATAGATACAGCGATTAGTTAGTGGTTTGTAATTTTAGGGAAGGGTATAAATATTTTCTTGTATTTTTGTGAGCCATGATTGACACAGTATAAATCATTCCCTTGGAGTGGACTGAGAGGGGAGAGTGGATGTGAATGGTTAGAGAATTTGTCTTTATTACTAAAAGATTATTCTGTCTATCTTTATTTCTCTTCCACAGGGTAAATAACATAGAGAGTAATGGAAGAGTAGAAAGTGATAGGAAAGGGCCAAGATAGGCAGAAAACCCCCCCCACCTGTGCTCATGTACAAGGTTATGAATTTTAGATCTGAAAGAGCACTCTACTTAGTATGTAAGTTGAGAATATGACCAAGTTTTGTGAAGGTATGTACTTATTGTAGCCCTTTCTTGTCACTTTCAACATTTGCCTTCCACCCTTCTTCCTACTGTTTTTTCTTCTCTGCTTCGAGGTTTGTCTTTTTTTTCCCACCTCACAGAAAAACAGGAACGAAGCAGAAGTAATAGATGTAAGAACAAGGTGTAGTTGCTCTATATGTGCTAAGAAAGTTAGAGAGGAACTTGAAGAATTAGTGAGGAGAATAGAGGTAATGGGAAAATTTATTGTGACAGTAATCAAAGTGAATTATTAGCCAAGCTGAAAGTAGAGAGTTGTATGATGTGAATGAACGACAAGGAATGTAGAAAGTTAGATGATGTAGAGTTTGATGATATGTCTATATGACTGGGAGAGGAGGAACTTGGATGACTGCAAAAAGAAAGAGTTAGATAGAGGGAATGTATGACAGGAGTGTAGGCAGTACTTAATGGCAGTAATGCATAATTATGTACGCTCGCTACAAAAAGTATCTGCAAAATTTTTTGCTAGACAATATGACACATCGGACGAAGGATTTTGACAACCCTACCAAGACAACAGGAGTCACAGTGTTCATTTTGACATCCATCAGACTCCACCTTGCAGATACTTTCTGTAGCGAGTGTACCACAGTGGATACAAATGTCTTGCACATCCAACAAACATTTCAACAGAAGAAAAAGATACATGTGAATATTTGCTCTGAATTTGTTTATTTTTCTTAACAGTTCCTCAGAGCTCGGTTTGTTCAAGCTGTTTCTGAATTGCAGTTTTTGGGCTTCATTAAACCTACTAAACGCAAAACAGATCATGTAGCCAGGCTCACGTGGGGTGGATGTTGATATCCGAGATGAAGTTTGGTGATCATACTGCTGTTGCTGCTGCCACATTTGAAGATAGTTTTAAGTACCGGTATACATTCCCTAATGTTGGATCAGTACTGTAAGTAAAAAATTAATTGTTGTATTACATTTCTTTGTATTTTTGTATTTCTACAATGCGTTGGAAGAATTATATTTATTATTCTTATGAGACAAGCCAACTGAACCAGTGTTTTAAATTTTGGCTGTGTTGTTTTTTCTTAATAAATATTTTGCTTTGACATTTTTTTCACTGGAATGGATTGGTTAATTGAATTAATATTTTTTATTACTGAACAAACAGAATAAGGACTACAAGAGTACTTCTATGGAGAGAAAATAATTTTCATTTTGCAGTTAGAAATTTACATCCTAGAAAACTTACAGGAAGTGATAAATTAGAGCTAAAAAAAATAAATTAGTAATAACCCTGTAAGCTGAAATAATTGGTGCAGAGCTTTTTGGGAATGAGAAATTTCCAGATAATGATACGAATCTCTCAAACCCAGAAAAATTCCAAATCCCTGGAGTTTTTCCAGGTACTATACATACTGGGAAATGGTTTCTAGAATCTAAACTGTGCATTGCACACAGACAACATTTTTGCACATCCTCAAAATGTTTCTGGGTACAGTAAAGCTTTGAATAATGACGATAATGTGTCCTCCAATATGGCAGTGTAAGGTGAATCATCGTATCTTGAGTGCTGCATTATTTACTTAGCGTCCCCCCCCCTCCATCACTTTTATGATGCTTCATTCTTTGCTTGCAGTGCTGGTAAGTGTTACTTTTTGAAAATTAGTAATTACATGTATATGGGCCGATTTTTTATTGTATTTTTGTATTGTTGTACCTCAATAAATTGTAATTTGGGATAATTCGGCAAGACCAGAGCCGCTATGTGCCGATTTATCAAGGTTTTACTGTTCTGTATTTTGCCTATCAGCAATATACTTTATCTCCTTAATAAGAACTGTTATCTGTTCTGTGTCTTGTGCAGTATGTGCTTGGAAAGAAAAAATTCAACATCACTACATATTATTTATTATAATCATATATGACATTACGTTTGGGAGCAACAATAAGAGGTTGACTGGAACATTGAAAAGTCTACATAAAAAAGATGATGAAACATGTGAATGTCTGTGATTGTGCAGGTGCATCGGTCGAGTAAGGGCTACCAAAACACTACAATATTATCACCACTCTCACCCTAAGGCTCCCACCTATGCACCCACCAACACATTCCAAGTACAAAATACTGGTTTAATTCATTACAAAAGCAGCTGCATGGCCTTCACTGATGTACACGTTCTTTGTCTATCAACTTAGGACTTCCCTCTGCATGTGTGGTGGTAGTCAGGGCATCATGGAGTACCAGGAGGAAAGAAGGAACCCCTAGGCTCCCACCATGCAGAGTGACGATCACCTGGGCCTAGCTCTGTGAGGTACTCCTCCATGCAACCTTTGTATTAACATGGGCACATATCCACCATCACTAAATGGCCTGCAGCTGACAGTCTGAGGCAGAGACTGAAGAAATCCACATGCTGGCTGGTAGTGGACTGGGATCAGAGGTAATCTTGTGTCAAAGTCTCTGGTGGTTAGAGTGGCAGTGCCTTTAGACAACACCACCTCATACAGAACACATCAATATATCTTCACCGGACATTTGTACCAGAAACATACGTTTGGCTTTTTAACCCCTAGGCTTTGGTTCACATCACATGACATTTTTATCTTTCGCGGTACTATTTGAATAAAAAGGGCAGGCCTGGCTACATTATGTTGCCAAATAGGTATTTATCTTTCTCTCACACATGAGAGCCTCCCAGTCTCTTCTCAGCTTTTGTGATGTAGGTATCTCGCCCCTGGACCTAACTCACCTCACCATGTGTTTCTACCCCCCCCCTCCTCAGCAGAAGTCTAGTACTGTATTGTGATCAATTACTGGATCAGTAATCATGATTGGCAATAGTGTAAATAGTAATAATATAGTAAAACAAGTGTCCTGTACCTTATACTGCTTACAAATTAATGTTTACCTCATTACTACTGCGTCACACACCACTTCACGAACATTTTTCAACTTTTCCTAACCCCGGTGTTGAAAGACTAGACTTACGTTTTATTTATTTTTTAAATGTTCCTGAATATACCCGTGTGTGTGTGGGGGGGGGGGGGACATAGCCCAAAGCCCAGGAGTTAATTGATCAACCTAAAAACCCAGCACTGCTTAAAATGGACATACAAGAGGACATGCAAACCCAAATGACGAGTGACAAATGTGATGAGATACCTCACTTGCATTATCTCAACTAGCTTAATATTCATCTTCAATCTGTCAAAACAAACAAATTCAAATAGTTTTCCTGGCAAAAGTCATGACAGTGACAACCACCAGCACCATAAGTATTATATGTATTTATGATATCACCCATGAACCCATGGTACAGGTGGTGTGGACAACACATCATGATCAATGGATGGTTAGCCTATGCAGGGCAAAATCTAACATGACTCCTGGCCAGGCAAACAGTCTCACACGTAAACTCTGCACATTAGTAAAGCAACACTGTGTTGATATTACACAAATTTAATTGTATACAAGATTATTTATTATAAAATTAAGTTCAGTACTCAGATGAAAAATCACATGTTCCCATTGTATCAACGAAACTGAAAAGCTGAATCTGGAGTTAATAGGAAGAAAAATAACAATGCCTAGAACAGAACATATGTGTACAGCACTGAGACTTTTATCATGTGTGCAGCATTAAAATAAACTTATATTTTCAAAATGCTTAACAAAAGGAGCCACATACCCAGTTAAAAAAAAAGTATATATATCAAAATTAATTGGTGAACAATCTTCATGACCTAGTGATTCATTTGGCACAGAAGGTCCTCCAGAAATTGATACAAATAGAGTGTACTGCACCAGCTTCCTGCAAGATGGCAGACAAGGGCCACACTACTAGCTGGAGACATAAGTTTGTACTACAGCCACACAGGAGCCCATCCAACACTTCTAGTGTTGGGCTTCTCCTTAGTGTTACTCAAAGTTTAAGTTCTAGTGTTGAAAGTTAAATATGAAATACTTAAACTGAGAGAGTAAGGATTTAGCACAACACTACTAAGTTGCTGACATTGTGCTTTGTTGTGTGGTGCTCCTGGTGATAACTTTTCATGGTTTTTGTACTGCAACTTGGTCCTGAGGTAATGTTCTGTAGAGCCTGTGAGGCAGCACTCAGAGATAGCACTGGTAGAGTGATACAAAGCCACAATTTGTACACAGATTCACGAGGAGAAGTGTATGTGTGGTGACACGTCTTCTGGGAGACCAACACTTACCCCTAATCTGCCATACTGTATATACATTCTGAAACACCTTTCCTTACAAGGACTATAATAGTTCTTTTAGCTTTAGCAAGATCATTTTTGTTCTTTATAGTGAATCTACACAATGAAAATAATAACTATATCTACATCAGTCAATACTGACACAGATAAACTAAGAAATAGTTAAGGGCACAGGAATCAGGTAACCTCCAACACAGAGCAGTAATAGTGTTCCCAGCAGCAGATTAACTAATTAATATTTAGTTTAATAGTTCACAAATTCAGATACCACTTGCCAAAAGAATTCAGATGTCATTCATTAGTATTTATGTTCAATTATGCTTTTCTGGAATTATACGATACAGACTCTACTGTATAATGGTTTTACAGTGAAGTTTTTTAGCTGGGGTGGGGAGAGATAGGGGCAAAGTAAGGGAGAGACAGGGTGGTGGTAATGTGGGTGGAAGGGGCAGGGTGATGGTAATGTGGGTGGGAGAGGGAGGGACAGGGTGATGGTAATGTGGTGGGAGAGGGAGGGACAGGGTGATGGTAATGGGTGGGAGGAGGGACAGGGTGGTGACAAAGTGGGTGGAAGAGGGAGACAGGGTGGTGGTAATGGATGGGAGGGGCAGGGTGGTGGTAATGTGAGCGGGAGGAGCAGCAGGGTAGTGGCAAAGTGGGTGGAGGAGAAGCAAGGTGATGGTAATGTGAGTGGGGGGAGCAGGTGTGGCAAAGTGGGTAGAAAAGGGTGGGGCAGGGTGGTGGTAATGTGAGTGGGTGGTGGCAAAGAAGGGTGTGAAAGAGAGGCAGGGTGATGGTAGTGTGGGAGGGAGAAGCAGGGTGATGGTAATGTGGGTGGGAAGGGCAGGGTGATGGTAATGGGATAGTGTGGTGGCAAAGTGGGTGGAAGAGAGAGACAGGGTGATGGTAATGTGGGTGGAAGGAGCAAAGTGGGCGGGGGAAATAACATATACAATTGAGAAGGAAACAGGTCTTCAGCAAGAACCCAAAACAAAAGGTGTTTTTGGATTAGAAACACAACAAACACACATATAGATATAATTCGACAATAAATCTAATGGCGTACATTTTGAAGGTCTTGAAATCCATCTGCACATTACCATAAACATATCCTGTCAGTACGAGTGCATGCGAGGGGTGGCGGTGGGAGGGAGATAAGAAGAGGGTGTAGCTAAGACGGCACCGACTACTCGGGCAAATTCTTCACCCTGGTCTGTCTGCCCACCCGTCCCGCCAAGGCCGCTGCTTTCCACCTCAAAGTCACTTACAATGCCCAGCTACACTCGCTGTTTATGGCCCCACCCCTACACCCTAAATATCTGGTTAAAAGCGCCCTTCTGTACCCAAACATAAAGGCGTGTGCAGCCCGTAGCTAACTAGGGGCTTACGACCGTCGGGCCGCGAAGGGTCCCGTAATCTGCGACGGTGAAGATGTTACAGAAACAAAAGATGGTATACTGGGGACCAAAATTTGCATGCAGCGGACGACTTTAGCTGGAGGGACACGGGTGTGGAGGCATTCGGTAATGAATTGGGGTTGTAAACTGAGCCTCACTTGCTAAATACAGGACGACAGTCACACCTAACTATATTTATTTTTTTGTATACTGTGCTTCTTACTTATACAACTGACCATGTAATAAAATAATATACTTCTTACTTTAATGTACTATTTTTTTATCAAAATAGAATACAATTACTTTACAATGTCGGGTACCTTTCGGAATCCACAGAGGAATATAAGTTTTGGCTTGATTAAATATTCAGAGCAAATTTGTACCACAAAAAACTAACCTATCATATCGTCTATTTTTAAAACGAAGCGCTGTTATGTTCATACAAATCATACCGAAATATTCATCTGAAATCTTCAACGTTTTGATACAGGTTTACATTATAATTTCAAGGTGTGGTGGAGGATGGAGAGTATGTTAAGTAGATCCAGGTGGTTTCACTGGTACTAGACTCCCAAAAAAAAAGAACAACTTACGTTATGAAGTCATCGAAAGCAAATTTTTGTTGAGATTATTTTAAGTCGTGAGAAGCCAAGTTGGTGTGAGAGGAGAGGAGGAGGGAGGGTCAAGGTTGGGGCATCCTGGGGTAAACACTCCTGCCTCATTACACATGCGCCCTGGGAACACTGTACCCTCCCCTCTCCCTCCTTCCCTCCCCCTTTTTCTTACTCTACCAGTCCCAAGGGGCTACGTTTCGAAATTTTCAGTTTCAAACAAAAGTTTGTTGTCATGAACTTACTGTAGTAAATATTATCCCTCTCACTGCCACAATATATAAAGCCAGAAAAAATTATCCATTAAAATCTCTGCTTCATTAATGAATACTGTTAGTTACGAGAAAAAAATAGCAAGGTGGAAGTGAACTTGCGCGTGTGTGTGTGTTCATCCCGCATGCTTGATGGTTGGGTGTAACAGGATCCGAGGAAGGCTCACCCAGGACCCCTCCAACACATGGGTATCTTCTGCTCCGTGCGTTACGTAGCTCCGTGTGAGCCGTGAGCCTCGCTCACGGACGCTGCTGCTACTTGTGCGC